CCCCCCACACACACACATCTCTAAAATTCTAAAATTGACCCGAGATCCTTGCATACCCCAAAGTAAATTACATGACCTAATGAAACATGAGAGCAAGATTATTAGGTCTAGTATGGTAAGCTATATAAACTCGCCGGTGGGGAAAAAAACCGCAACAAAAACAAAACTTTAAAAAACCCAGCAAACTTTAAAAACAAAACAAAACAAAAGGTGTTATTAGATCTTCATCCCGAAAATATGGCCGTCCTATCTGTCTCGATAATATCTACCAAACAGTCTGCTAATCTTTACTTGTATACTATTCGATCTTCCACCGACATTCAATCTCGGACGCTTTATTTGGGAGATCAAAACGGGGTAGTTTTTGTTGCACCGTCGTATCAAGTTCATTCCCAAAGCTATCCGTTGTTAATCGGTTCGCTGAGAATTCATTATTTTTCTATTGCCTTTCAAGAAAAGTCGGCTTTTTGTGAGAAATAACAAATCCTTTTCAGGAGCAGACTGAGGAAGGCATACACTCAACAGAAATCTGCATAATCTTCAAAGCGGGGGCCTTTCGGTTTTTTTTTATTGGCTCAACTATCGTGGCACTCTGACAGGGGTAGTGATTTGTGCCATTTCACCGGAAACCTTCTGTTGACAACAAGAAGAGCGTCAATATGGCTGATCACCAAGCATGCGAAGTTGGCGTGAAATCAAAACGAAAGGCTTGCTTTGAAGTGTGCGTGACTTAACGTTATAACCTGGCTTTATGAATTTTAGACGCATAGCCTTGCTTTTTTTTTCAAACACATGTTTGACATGTCCTAGGCGTTTTAATAGAGACTGATCCAGCGTATCATGTCAGTAGAAGAGTGATGTCCGAAATATTAATTTTCATAAAATCATATGCCTGGAATTTGGGCTTTCAAAAGATTAAATCTCTGTTTATCAGTCACGATTCTAGGCAGTATGCATTATATAAATATTTGACTTTATGCTTGAAACCTATTGATTGCTTGTGAGGTTTAGTTCATATAGGGATAGATCTAGATCTAGATATATCAAAATATATATTAAAAAAAAAATTTAAAAAATGTTTTAACAACCAGGGCGGTCCAGGGCATGCATAACCTCAGCTTGGGTGTTATTAAAATGGCTATTCCTACAGTGGTGAAACTGAAAGCAAATGCAGTCATGTTCCTGTGATAGATGATATCCATATAATCAAGTTTATCTCAGTGTTTAAACTTTAATACGCTTTTAATTTATTTCTTATAAAAAGTAGGCCTACGGCAACCATCCTGTGTGCACCGTCCTTAGCACAGGCTTAGATAGATGCTTGATTTGCACCATCACCCTCTACTCAGGTGTTCGCTCAGTGCTCGGAGTTGTAAAGATAGGGCACACCCTGGCTTGTTCTTGGGTCCACTTGATTTTAAAATATTTGACTGTCCTGTTATATATATAATAATATGATATTTTAATCCCCTCATTTGCAATTGATAAATAGATTCTTGGAGTATCGGTATATTGTGTGTGTATGTGTGTGTATGTGTGTGTGTGTGTGTGTGTGTGTGTGTG